GACTTTGTTACGCCACACGCTATCCTCAATAGTCTGAAACTCAATTTTTTAATTGTTCACATTGGTGCTTATTTCCTATTAAAAATACGAATTTATTATTTGATTACTTAGGTATTTCTGTCTTGTAATGTTCTACATTGAATTCCAGTATCCAAAAGAGAGCAATACTTACACGAATCCAAGCTTTGATTGGCCAGTCGGAGAACCACTACCTCACATCTCTGAGGCCCCGAGTAATCAACTAAAAACTCGGTTACACATCGAGGAGTTGTTTGAACAAGGGCCAATTGTGCAAAAACCCACAACGCATTCCCGACGTTTAATCGATTATACTCGAAATGCTGTTGGACAACCGCCGGTACCTTCGATGAACTCAGGTCCGGATCTCCCCGGAGGGGGACTGGTAGCCCATGTGACGTATGGACAACCAGAGACAATTATGTCCCGAATGTGATATAGAGCTGTAAACGTACTGGACACCTCCTTTTATGCAATAAACTCATGGGATAAACATGACAGTCTGTTCAACCGTTCAACTCCCCTACCCGCAAAACTTAAATAATTCTAAAGCGCCCGAGTACTCATGTTTTCGAAAACAAACTCATCATGAGAAACCCATTTTGTCTTGTCCCTATTTCATCTACGCTTTGAGTTTTACGATAAAAAATTTGTCTCAGAAGATACCACTTTGTGCATAGTACCCATTATTCATCAAGAACCATACTTTTATCATATGCACGCGAAACCGTCTCCCTCAACCAACATGTGTGAGCCAATGGTGGTTGAGCTAATGAGAGTTGCCCACATGACTGATGTCCTCTTTTCATCTTCTCAACCTCGTCCATGGGCTGTATCTCTTTTCCCCTATCAACCAACCAACCAACCCCCTCCCTCCCTCCGACCCTCCATTCGTATTTTGCCAGTAATCTCTGTTCAGTGGTTCTGACCTTCATTCACACCCATTGTTTATCTCTTTCATTAGATATTTATCGAATTGGGATTTATTTGACTTCACTTTTCACTATTTCCTTGGAAATTGTTATTTTTGTGCTTACATTTGGATTACTGTGTTTATCTCCATCTATTTCCACTTTCCATTCATTGTCCCAAGCGATGTGTGCATTAACTTCCGTGCATTCGTCACCTGACATTTCGTCTACCAGTCCCGCCCCCCCCCCNNNAAGTTGACCGGTCGTTTGAACATCCACACACACACACACACATACAATTTTTCATAGTCTGTCTCTCCTCTATTTTTTTCACAGAACCTGTTCATATCTCCCAAAAACCACAAAGAAGCCTCGTGAACCCCACTTTCTGTCTGTGTTTATTTTATTTGTTTGTTTGTTTGTTTCGATCGGTGGATTTTGGATTACGTTTTGTTGTCTTGTCCTCTGCACCCCATTTTTGTTCAACCGAAAGCGGTTAACCATTTCTGCCGGAAATACATGACTTTTAATAGGATTTACTGATGCTTATTCTCTCGAGTAAAACAAGTGTTATCAAAACCAACGGTCGCCGATTGCACAGTGAACTCAAGCAGATGACCAAGAGTTTTTATCATGCGCGATAGCCCCCGGAACCGTGAGATCCCAGACAGTTTTACTCGGTGGTTTACATCCGGTTTTACGGCGGAGCTGATTAGTGAGCGGATGATTCCAATCGTGTGTCTCGCGCACAGTATGATTGCACTTGGTGCCATTAAAGAAAGTATAAACAACTTGGGTACAACTGATCGAAGTTCAATTGATTGTTGTTAATGTCCGCGAAGTGTCACAAACACTTGCATCATCCAACTGGCGAAAATTCGTTCACCTAAGAACCATGTAAAGTGACCCAACATGAGTTCACATGAACCTTACCCTGACCAGCGGATCGTCTTTGCCACCCACCACAACTCACCGGTCTCCGGAGTGAACGTGATCCGAGACATTTCCGTGTCAGACGGTAAGCGGTGTACACTGATTGATCTATATATCTCGCGCAAGTGGTACGCGAATGGACAGACTGTCTTGATAGGAAGTAGTATCTGAAGTGAATGTCTGCCGGGCAAATAGAATAGCGAAATCACACGTTGGGTTTCGGACATTCAGCTGCTGATAAATTATCAGGTGTGCAAACTAAGTACAAGAAAGAATAGCACACTCAGTAGATCAAGCTGAGAAAAGACCAAAACTCCAATTCGTGTGTACGTTCAATTGAGAGAAAACTTAGATTTAATTGGCTTGCGGTAACTCCGGTTCCGATGTGCATATGCGGTCTCTGAATCGATATAACGGTCAAACAGTTGTCAGACCAATTAACTGTTGCCATCGCACCACCAACATCGCCATGCGGCGCAGCACTACTACCTCCCGGTTGAGGTTATCTACATCATGAGATCAAGCTGAGGGTGAATCAGTCATTGCTTTATCGCTTTTAGTGGGGCTGGTACATTACAAACGAGAATGGGCAGGCTGATGCGCAGTCAGACCCAAATGGGCGCTGAGTTCAGGAGACACGATAGCGGCAGAACCGAGGTATACACAAGCTCTGAACAACTGCTTTTGAATGTGGTCGTGCACAGGACAAATCAAGTGTGCGCTGAAAAGTCCGAAAGCACTGGAGGGCTGTTGCGACCTTTTTGAGTCTCATCAGCAATGCGAACCCATTGATGCGGCTGGGGATCGAACCCTGGACCCCACAGGTGGAACGCGAGCATACTACCCTCTCGGCCAATGGCAACTGACCAGGCAACTTTTTTAATTTTTCCTAATGAATACTTTACCTTCTCTCTTAAAACGATGAATATCACTTTAAAACGGAATAAAATCCACTATTCTCATGATATTAGATGAATATATATGTATACATATAAAAGTTCATAATTTAGATTAAGCTAAGATGAACCAAAGATGGTTCGTTACGTTGCTTATCCAGTGTTACCATGATTTTGAAATAGTAGATTTGAACCGCTTTTGTAGGCTTTTCTTGATAGAATATTCATACGTGAACTGGTAGAAAACAAGCTTGTTACGTCACGTGATAGTTACGGAGAGTGAAGATGGGAGAAAAAGACATTCGAAGAAGTAGCTGTTGGGGTATGATATCGTACGAATGATGTCCGAGGATTGCTATTGTTAATTTCTTGGCTTGTTCGCGAATTGCTCGATATGCACAAACGGATTTACGGTTATGGTACATAATCACGCGTCGATCGTCGGATCAAATTGAATGATATTAATCTTTATAGGCCCGGTTTGCCGGTAATGAATGTGAATGATGAAGCCAAGTGCACCGGATTCCACAATGTGTTCTGGATCACATCATTTCGCTACATCTGCACACGTGCGTGTTCCAATCTAAGTGATCGGTATTAGTATATGACCGGAAAATACCGGATCTTAGGCAACATCAGCCTAACTCAGATATCATCAGTTGCCTATGAGGCATCAAATATTGCCCATCAATTCACCGTTGTGTGATCTATCAGATTCGGAAATGACTGTTATCCTGAATCTCGTCTGTTCGGATGAAAATCCCTGAAAAATTCACTAGACTAGGAACACGTGGTTTCAACGTTCCGGAAAAACCCAAATCAATTTGTGTCTAACATATCTTAGTATCAGCTCAGCTATCCAAAAAGCGAAGCATTATCATGTGGCCTCAACTACTGTGTTCCACCACGGTAGTCTAAACGTGCCACACTGGGACCTTCATCAGATTTGTTGCTTCCAAAGCCTGACGTTTTGAGTTTCGTTTGCAGGACTGACCATGGTATTACCTCATAACAGATGCTACATATCTGTAACAATATCCACTTGTGCTGTTGTTTCACAGGTGAAAGTGTTAGCCTTTTTAAAACTGCCCCCAACCGATAAACGAGAATAGTCTTGGTCGATTCGAAACAAACATACTGGCCATTGATGCGACAACGCAACCTATTCAAAAAGGCCCGATT